GACCTATCTATAGCCGAAAAATGAAACCAAAAGCTTGGGATCAGTTGGAGTAGTTCTCTCGTAAGACAAGACCCACACCCACACCGGGATCCCTCTTTGGCGTCACTCGTGGTCTTTTCTTTTGGTGCAAGCTTTTTTGTTACTGTATGGTATCCTTAGCATAGAGTACTTATATGATAAGAATTTTAGAAAACGAATAAAAAGGAGACACACACAGACAGCAGCAAAAGATAAAGGTTTGACACGCTGCAAAAGTAAGATACGAGTCATTCGAAAAAAAAAACTCGTCATCGGTGTAAGGTGCAAAACAATTCTAACAACAACATCATACTATTAACTATACTCAAAATATTTAGGATTCAATTACTTGATCGTGGTGAGTAAATTATTAGAAAGAATCGAAATGCCAAAGAAACTATTTTTAATGTTATACACTTAGTGTCAAGAGACTACGAACAGTCTGGTTCTTGTTTGTTTCACTCTTTTTCGTCCATTTCAGTTATTGAAGAGATTAGAAACGAAAATCTGTATAATGTAGTTGTAACTTCAATGATATTACGTATCAAAAAAAGACGAAAACTATGGTAAAATTTGGGTATGGGTAAGAGTAGTACTGGAAAATTTTCCGGTCGCAAACCAATCTATACAGGTGACGGTAAGAATTGTTCTGTCAAAGATCGATATGTGACAATAACGATGAAAAGCTTCTAATCATGGCGAAATCTGTAACAGTGAGAACAAAAAGCTTCTAATCATGGCGAAATCTGTAACAGTGAGAACAGAAAGCTTCGATTCACTTACTGATTTATCGGAGTTAGAAGGACAACTTTTACCACTGACAGTTAAGTGAAACATCAAGGACCAAGCACTTTGAATTACGGAACAATTCGTTAAACTGTTGACGAAACAGCTCCGTTCCGAACGGCTATGAGCGAAACTCAGACTAAGAAACTTTGGGCTACATGGTCGTGCTTCGAAGTTAGTGTGCAAGGATTCGTTCCTTCCACCAATTTGTCAGGGCAGTACTGAAAACCTCAGGACCATCGAACAATCCATAGAAAACAACCCCAAAAAGCTTCGCAGAACAGAGAAGTCTGTCAAGATGAAAGCTGACAGATTCAAGTAGTATGAAAGTCTCTGAGAGCCACAAAGAAGAAATCGTGCTCTCATAAACGCGGGTGATGGTGAAAATACAGGAGCCGCGATCATCAACCAATTTATCAGGATCTCAGCGACAATTTTCAAGTGATATAGAAAATCATAAGAACCCAAGCGGAGAAATCCAATCATTGAATCTTGTTGGATCCGTTCAGAATCAATGTTGGACTATGTCGGAAATGGTCGGGTTCTATCGAGTTGAGTCCGGAATTCACTGATCCAAAATCCGACGAATATAGGACCGGGAAAGGATCCTATCGGATCCGACAAGTTTCGATGAGTGGATTCGACAAAGTCTTATCGGAACCACTGACGAAAATTAAGAGATCTGACAGGGTCCAGTCGGATTTAAATTATTAGCGTTCTATAGTTGTTCTGCTTCTAATTCACTATCATTTATTTACCATATAATAAATAATTACATTTTTGACGCCAGCGGTAAAAGTATACCGTTTACCTTTATTAGGACTCAGACGTACGATAAAGGGATTTCTGCTCTTTGCTAACAAGACTTTCTCCAGTTATTGGCGAAAGTCTGGAGGGCCTATTCACGAATGTTCATTGAACTTTCATCAATTGGCGAATATCCAGGAGACGAATTGGCAAAAGTCCACTCAACCTTCGCCAATTATTTGACGAGAATCTTGTAGGCTTTTGCTACTATTGGCAAAAATTGAGTGGAATTTCGCCAATTGATAGAACAGTATAAACGTAGCACATATGCGAGAACAGTACCCAGTGGTATTAAGATATATCTTAATGCATACATTTGGAGTGTGTTCGAATATGATCATATTAATGTCTGGTTATAATATGCTCGATTACAAAAGAAACAGTAAATAATATGGTGTCAAACGATGCAGAGATAAGAGAGAGAAAATAGCGAGAATAAGATATATGAAAAATAAATTTATCAAGAAAAATTTAGTCACGATCTGGTGATAAACTCGACGATGAACATGATGAATCTGATTTTGAAATATTGTTTTGGTTTTGGTTTTCCCGTTCCTCCTCGACAAACAGGTTCACTGACAAGATAAGCAAGAGACATTAATGTGTCAACCAAGGATCTTTTCTTTGAGTTTAATAAAAGTAAAGTTTTTCTATTTCAAATAGAAACAGATCAATCTATATCTCTCAAATACAAATCAATCTGCTAGTCTCAACTTTTGCTTTTCAGCAACCGATGAAGTCGTAATTAATTTGACAAACTGAATATTCGTGCTTTATGAAATAATAAAAAAAGAATGCAGAGTTTATTTTCGCCGACGCGTTTCATGTTTATTTTATTGAAATAATAAAACACTCATCAGGGCTCTGCATTACAGAAACACAAATTCTAAAACAATTCATATCATACTTAAACGCTAATTGTAACTTTAACTACATTTAAGACACAAATATAACAATAATTACACTGAAAGCTACGCAGTGAGATAAAAAACAAAACAAAAAACTGATAAACATACATAAAAATACAAAACTACAAAGCTACGTTGACTAATATAAAGAATTCACTAAGTAATAACCCAAGTTTGAGCCTCGATAATTTATTTAAAATAATAACATTCTAAAGGCACAGATCACAAACATGTGTTATTGTTGTCGATATATTAGTACGTGTACGTGATAGTGAAGTTTTCAGCTAGATAATATCACTGATTTGTTTTCGCTAATTTATTTGTAACAAATCGATTATTACAACATTGTCGACGTTGAAATTAGTTAATAGCCACCAGTCAAAAGATTAATTGATTGATCAATAAATTTTGCTTGATAAAATTGGTTGATAACCAATAAATTTTTAATAATCGTTGTTAGGGATAATTTCAATTAAATGAAAGTAAACAATTGAAATAGTACGATTCTTGTGTTATCGCTTATTTGTCTCTGAAGATATAAACATAGACAATTGAAATAATATTATTCATTTATTTGTCTCTGAAGATATGAATGTAAACAGTTGAAATAATATTATTCATGTGATATCACTTATTTGTCTTCATTTATCTCCAAAGATATGGACAATTAACAAGATTTGCAAATTGAAAGCATAATTAATTGATCAATATAGGTTGGAAGTATATTAACAGATATATCATTACATATATCTAATGAAATTATCTATTATGTTTTCGTATGTACTAACCGCCTTTGGAGGTTATTAACATTGCGTGTGCCAAGAACAGGTATAACTTCATTAATTGGAGACTCACAAAAATATTTATTCCATAGTATATGGAATTTACCTGGAAATATTTTCATATTTGAACAATATGTAAAATGTATAAACATTGTCTTTCCATAATCAATTGGTACTTTTTCTTTTATTGGAGAGTCTATAACTTTTCGACGATAATCATCATAAATCAAATAGAAACAGATCAATCTATATCTCTCAGATACAGGGTGTGGGTGTGGGTGTGGGGTGGGTGTGGGTGTGGGTGTGGGAGTGGTTGTGGGACTTCTATTCTCTAACACCGACACCCACACCCACATCCACATCCACACCCACACCCGCACCCAGCCACCCACACCACACCCACACCCCACACCCACCCACCCACACCCACGCCACACCCACACCCACACCCACACCCACCCACACCCACACCCACCCACACCCACACCCGCACTATCACGTTCACATACAACTTTTGCTTCATTCCAAGTAGTTTCATGAAATAATACTTTATAACAATAATCATTTATTAAATGATAATCTGAATCATTACCACATGAATAATCTATTGATACATTAACTGATATGACTGCCGGTTTGTTATTTATAGTTGAAGGAATTACGATTGAATCAACTTCGGGATTTTTATCAACACAAACTGGTATAGCAGACATTGATGAACATTGATCTGATTCAGAAAAACATCGTTGA